CGTCCCACCCGCTGCTGAACAAGAACGAGCCAGCTGTGCGCCAAGGGCTTTACCGTATGGCAAAGATCAGAGCTTGGCAAGAGCCCGTCTGCCTCTCCACAGCTGGGACCTTGCTGCTGCGCTGTTATGGCCTGTGCTCAACACTGCACTTGTCACTTTTCAGGAGGCTGGTTCGTAGTTTTTACCACTGTCCTGTTTACCGAGCCTCTCCCTTTCCCACGGTGCCCACAACACAGACTAGAAGCCCGGGACAGACCAGAGTACTGAATCCTGATCAACTTGGCTTGCAATGCGCACAAACAACCCTCGCCCTCATGCTTGCCCACAGACTTTCTAACCACACGCCAGCATCAAGGGGGGGAAAGAAAAAAAAAAAACACACTTGCACAAATGCAGCCCAATGCTAGCTCCAGTCTCCAACAACCAGCTTTCTGCAGCCACACGTCCAAGTCTGAGCTCGGCCGACTGGGCAGTGCCAGGACGCAATCCCTCTGCATGGGAAAGCCGAGCATGCCAGACAGCTCAGAGCAGTATGTGACCAACACCACAAAAGCAGCACTGAGGCTGGAGGGGGAAAGCTTTCCTAATGCCGATGTCCTCACAGAAGTGAACCTGGACCCAGGAGAGCTTGGAGAGCTCTGCAGGAACACAGCCCATTCGCACACTCAGGTTGGCCCTCGATCCAACCGAGCTGCTTTCCAGCCTGTAATGAAGCCTTTGATGCCTGCTTATGCCAGCCAGCATTGTACAAACAGGCACATCCAACGCTTGCTTTGCTGCATGCAAATGCTTTGCAAGAGCTGCCCAGTTGTCACCTGCTGTTCAATTGCTCAGACAAGGAGTCATTATCTACGCAGGGCTCGGGGTAGCTGGCAGGGCTCTTCAGCCCTGCTTCCATTAGGATAACATGCTTAGGCAAGCACCTAGAGGCCCTGCTAATTCCCCCACTGCAAGCAGTAGCCACAACAGTGGGAGTCTTACAAGCGCTTGCTAGCAGATCAAGTGACTTGCCCAAGCCAGTCTGAAGCAGCGTGCGGAGGGACTCAAACACCTGGCTGCTAGCTGCTTGTGCCCTCCTCACCTCGCTGGTCTCGGTTTGCAGCTGGGGTAACAGCACTCCAAGTTTACCAAGTGCGCTTTGGAGCTGCCAGCCCTTCTGGATCACAGTAGAGGTTTTATTGAAGCGGTGCTATTGACGCCCCACCCTAGCAAGCCCAGCAGCACAGTGCCCTACTGGCTGCTCACATCCGAGGCATTGCAATCACTCTTCTGCTGCATCCACAAGTGAAAAGTTTCAACCCAAGACTTTTCTGACAGAGCTACAAAAACTTGACACGCTGCCCTTCCAAAAGGCCCGGTGCAGCAGGCATCAGACTCACAGCTTTAGCTCCAACAAGTGGCCAGTCGCTTATTTTTAAGAGAACACTAAAGTATCAGAGCAATGTAAACCGCACGAGTCTTTGCAGCTGCTGAGCAGCCACTGCTCTTGCTCCCAGCTTTCTCCTGCATCAGCCACCCTTCCCGTCTGCTCGCCGGACACAGCAGGAGGAATGCAGCATGGCTGTCACTTCCATTGCACAGGAGCTACCTTTGCACAACCCCCGTCAATGAAGGTTTCACAGGAAAAATAAAACAAAGGGATCTCACAAGTAGACAAAAGGAACCAAGTTAAGCTGGGGTTGGACACTTAATAAACTTTCCAGTAACACCTGCTGCACCTGTGGTTCTTAGTCACGGCTGCAAAACTGCTCTTAAACACTCATGCAGTACGGCATTTTCCCTCCCTGAAAGAAGGGCCTGAGGAGCGAAATCCTCCACAATTGCTCAGCAGATCCGGGTTTAATGCACAACCTAACAGTGACCCCTCCACTTCCCCTCTGCCTGGTTCTACCCCCAGCAAGGCTGCACAGATGCTGTCTCCACATGAGATGGAGTGAACTCTTCCTTCAGGCACAGAGCAAGACTTCTCTGACTGGGGACTGAGCACACTTCCTTCAATTCATTCATAAAACAGCTCACACCGCTCACTATCTCGATCCGCAGGGCTCGGTTATGCTGTCCTGGATACTCTCTTTAGCTGAGCTCATGCTGCAGGTTCTTCAAAATGGGGACTTATAGCTCGTTATAAAGATCGTTTCAGGCTGGACATAAGGAAGAACTTCTTTACTGTCCGAGCCCCCAAGGTCTGGAACAGCCTGCCACCGGAGGTGGTTCAAGTGCCTTCATTGAACACCTTCAAGATGAAACTGGAGGCTTATCTTGCTGGGATCCTATGACCCCAGCTGACTTCCTGCCCTTTGGGCAGGGGACTGGACTCGATGATCTTCCGAGGTCCCTTCCAGCCCTGATGTCTATGAAATCTATGAAATGCCTCCACTTGTTCCTGCCTTTTGGCAAAGGCCCTTTTTTTAAAATGAAGCTTCCCAAGGATGGTTTATTTGTAGCATGGAAACAATTCCAACCAACTGCTTTGCTCTGAATGCACTGGAGGAGAGGAACAGGCCATTCACAAGCGCTGGCTCTTCATACACCCAAGTGTATCACAGATATGATCCTCAGTGACTAACAAAACCATAGCTCCATTGAGCTTAGCTTTAATCCTGGCGAGTTTGGGACTTTTCCAAGTGCTAACTGGGCTTGGGCAAGAACCAATTCTTGGAAGTTTACAACTACAGCGTGCACAAATGAGCATCTGCTGTAGGTAGCTATCCCCCAATTAGTAACAGGACTTTAGTCATCTTTAGCACGAAGAGTTTAAGAGCAAAAAGTTCATACAAAACCAAAAAAAAAAAATCCAGGAAATGCAAAAAAAGATCAGATCTATTCAGCAGCAAACTGCTAGACAGGGTTTTTCCAAAGCCTGGTTTGTTTACCACGTGGCAAATTTAACAGACCTTTCCCACCCGGACATTATTGCACTTTAAACGTGCACCTTATTCCAATCCAGTGAAGAGCTCCAGGGTCCTACAATAGCCAAACGCGCTTGCAGCTTGCCAACGTCCATTTCTTTATTGCGTGTCCTGGGCAGGGTTCCCAATCTGTTGCTTGAAGACTATCACGATATTGCTGAGATTCATGTTGGCCTACACCAATGTAGTTTCTCTCCAGCATGCAGCTGCTGCTTTTGAGGCCACCTACTCTGCTAAGATCAAGGGTCCAACTTTCACCCTCTTCCATCTACCCCGATTTCATACAGCAAATGTGGAGTGAGGCTGAGGGTGTCTCTGTCCCGTGTCCCCACCTGCCAGGCCAGTTGGTCTTCAGGATCATCTCACCATTTTCTTCCCACCCCTGCAAGCATTCCAGTTTTTTATAGCAACAGGAAGCGCAGATGAGGTGCCCAGGCCAGTTATGCCTTTTATTTCCTTAAACATGCTGGCACGTGTCTCCTTAGTCGCTCCGGATTGACAAGCTAAAGCTGCAGGGTCTTCTGGATGCTCAGCTGAATGCGATTTCTCCTACTCGTTTGTTCTTTTTTAAGGCCTTCATTAGTACAGCGTTTTCTGTGGAAGGTGCCGTGTTCAACCAGTTTCCTGGAAAATTCTGCACCCAACTCAGCTCTCCTGCAAAAGGGAAATGCTTTCCCTTAACCTTCCCGTCCAGATTCTCACCACCCGGTCTCTGACAGCAAAACTAGACTGAAGGATGTATTCAGCCGGTTCCACATGCAATTCAAACTAGAGTAGCAAGCTGATTAGCAATTTCTCATTGCGCTCAAGACCCAAGTTTGGATCCCAACAAGTGCACCAACCACTTGTGTTTGGTACCCCTTCACTCGCCTTAGTCTTGTTATACACCAATAGATTCATGTCTTCTTGAATGGTTTAATGATCACAGAAGGGCCTAATAAGACAATTCATTGGTTTTAATTACTCTTTTTGCCTCAGCCTCATTATGAGGAATGTTGAGCACTAGTCTAACATGGTGTTTTAAAACCAGACATTGGCAATTTATTTCTAATCTGTTGTCAGCAGGTCTCTCCCAGTAAGGTCTGAAGTTCTGCCATGAAGATAATCCCCCAGCAAAGGACGCCGAATGGAGGAATCTGCCCCACCCTACAAGAGGGGAGGAAACCATTACAGTAGGTATTCAGCTACTGTTACCCCCAAGAACGGCAGAAGGTGGGGTGTTTAAAATCAACTCATTTACTGTAAGGAAGAAGAGCTCTGCATGAGCTTGTCTCAAGAGTCAACTTGCACCTTTGAGTGGAGAGGAAGGAACGGGCATCCAAGAACGTTAAAGGACGACAGGGGAAAAAGCAAGCCTTAAGTCGGTTCCTTGCTCCTCTTGGCTTAAAAACCAAAAACAACCTAGTGGCTGAAATCCATTTCACACTGAGCCACGCTGGCCAGACGCTACTGAGGGAATTAAGGTACATAGCTCGCTTAAGATGAACTCATCTACTTCAGCTGATCTTCAGCACAGAACTATCCTGCACAAGTAGAGTTGTGTGCTCTTACTTCATAGCCAAACTCCTAACCATGCTGTTGGGGTACAGGTCACCTACTATCAGCATTTCTATTTAAGCCAAACGTTTCACCTGTTCTTGGATCCATCAGCTTTGCATTTTTAATGGTTTTTGCCCAAATGCAGCCATTTATAAACATGAAATGAGACGGGGAGATGCTACTCGATTGGGTAAGTAAAGCGTTGAATAACTTGGGGCAATAATGCATCTAACACACCAAAGGAACATAACCTCACTTGGCTTAATCAAACTTCTGAGGCAGGCTTTACTCGTTTTAACTAGATGGTCAGAGAACACTTGATTTGAAGAAACCATGAACCACGTGCA